ACAAATGCAGTCTTGGAGCCATTATATTTTTGTATGATCTAATAATAATAATAATAATAATAATAATAATAATAATATTCTTATTTATTTTAATTTGGGACTAGAAGTATATAAAATGTATTTAAATTATCATATTTAATAATATAATATTAATTGTTAATACATTTTTTTTACATTCAAGAAAGAAATGAGAAAATAAATTTAAAAAAGAAAGAAAGAAAGAAAGAAAGAAGAAAAAGAAATGGGAAGGAAAAGTAGGGAAAAAGAAAAAAGAAATGAAAAGAAAAAAGGGAAAAGAAATAAAGAAATGGAAAAGAGGGGAAAAAGAAAAGGAAGAGAGAAAAAATAAACTAAGAAAAAAAGAAACAAAGGAAGAAAGAAACAAAGAAAGAAAAAAACAAAGAAATGGGAAAAAGTAAAATATAGAAGAAAAAAAATATTAAAAAAATAAATAAATTTAAAAAATGAAAAAGAAAACCAGGTAAAAGAAAAAAAGAAATGGAAAAAGAGGGGTAAAGAAAAAATGGGAGAAAGAATGAATGAAAAAACTGGGTAAAAAAAGGAAAAAGAAATTTTAAAAACTAAAGAAGAAAAAGAAAGGAAAAAGTAGTAAGAAAAAAGAGAGAATAAGAAGCATAGGAAAAAGAAAGAAAAAATAAAAAAAGGAAAAAAGAAAGAAGCAAGCAAGAAAGAGAAAAAATAAATAATGGGAAAGAAAAATAGTGGGGGGAGAAAGAAAGAAAGAAAGAAATTAGGAAAGAAAGAAATAAAGAAAAAAATTAGGAAAGAAAGAAAGAAAGAAAGAAAGAAAGAAAGAAAGAAAGAAAGAAAGAAAGAAATTAGGAAAAGAAAAAGGAAAAAGAAATTGGAAAAAAAAACTAGAGAAAAAATAAAAGAATGAGGATAAAGAAAAAAGTAAGAAAGAAAAGGAAAAATACATACATGTGGAAGAAAAAGGGAAAAGAAAAGAAAGAAAGAAAGAAAGAACGCTTCAGAAAGAAAAGAGAAAAAATAGCGAAAAAGCAAAAAAAGAAAAGAAAAAGAAAAACAGAGAAGCAAGAAAAAGGAAGAAAGAAAGAAGGAAAGAAAGAAAGAAGATAAAGAAAGAAACAGATAATGGAAAGAAAAAAAGAGGAAAGGAAAAAATAGAAATAGGAAAAAAGAAAGAAAAGCAAGCAAGAAAGTGGGAAAATAAAGAAATGATAAAAACAAAAAGAGGGAAAAAGAAAGAAAGGTGTCATGCATATTCATATTTATACAATAATCAATCAGAGATTGGCCACGCCCCACTGAACAGAAAACCAATCAGGATCCTCCATCAAGGATCCTGCTGTATTAAGCAGAACAACATCCTGCAACATCTCTTACACTTCAGTGTTTTCCAGAACAGAAAGCTCTGCAGAACCTGCTGCTCCAGAACTGCCAACACATGCACAGATCAATACATTACACTACAGTACAGATCAATACACACACACACACACACACACACACCGCACAATCATATCAAGCTTATAGCCTGTAAATTAGATTCACACACAGCACAAAGAGAGCCCGAGCAAACACCATTTACCCCCCAAAAAACTCAAAAGAAAAATCATTAAAATTTCTATTTGGCTCTGACAGAAACAGACTGAAATAAAAAGGAAAGGAGAACTCTTAAAAAGCAAAATCTCAACAACTTTATTATTCCTTATTGAATTATTGACTGAGACTACACCATCTACAACTGCAGCTCTGTGCTCTTACTTTACTGCAACTACTGTCTCGTGTGGTGTTTCTATTCTAGTAGAACCTCTATGCTGCACTACATATGCTTTTCACATCGACATCACAATGTGGACATCAGTAATAGTCATATCACAGATTACAATAGAGGAGACATTTCTTTCTTTCTTGTGCCACGGGACCCGACCAGATTTCTATCGGCACAGGAATACATTTCTGAATAAAGCGTGTGAGAGGTCAGTAACTGATGTGTTTTTGGATGCAGACCTCTAGATGAAACCATTTCAGCAAGACGATGATCAAAACACAGCCAAGGAGACTCTCAGATGCTTTCCAGGGCTCAACAATAAGGACTGCCCGGTGGCCCCGGGCCAGTGTGAGAGACACTTGGGACAGTAGACTGGATCATTACTGGCCCGATTGGGACGGTGCTGCCTTGTCACTAACATTTAATTTGTCAATTGTTTGCATTGTGCTTTTAAGTCTTTAAACACTACCTTCCCTGTGATGTCGTAAACACCATATTGCTTTCCGGTTCCTCTTATCTGATTGATTTGATCATGCTATTTTTTTTTGTAACCTGGTAACCAGTACAGTGTAGAAACAGCAACATGGAGACAACATCAAATTATAAGGCTAAAAGAAAATGTCTGTTTCTAACGTCTTGGAAGTAGACATTTACGTGGAAACAACACGACAAAATAAAAATGAAGTGATGTTATGCATAGTTTGTCGTCAGTTTGACAAGTCAGCCACCTATTGTTAAATAATTTCAAACCGCAATAAAATACCTGCACATTAAGCTAATAACTTCTCCCTTTTTTTTGGTGGGGGCAGTGAAAATTTTGGCAGGGCAAATAAAAATCTGAACCACTTGCCCAATCGGACCAGTAGAAAAAATCATAGCGTTGAACCCTGTATTCAGAGAAAGAAGATCAAGCTGTGGAATGGCCCAGCCAATCACCTGATCCGAATCCAATAGAGAATACAGAATAAAGCTCAGATTTGATACTCACAAAAGCATCCAGATTTTGACACTCAATGCATGAGAATTCATTCTCCATATGAGAGGCGTCTTTATCACAAAAAATATTATTTTAAATAAATAAAGTATTAAATAAATTTCAGTAGTTCAGCTTTCTCCTGTCAGTCTATTGTAAAACACAGAATTCATATTTCAGATTTATTTGTTGTGTTTTATTTTATTTCTCTTCTAGTTTTTGCCTTGAATCTGCTTCAATTCCCTGTCAACAGCTGCTTTAGAAATATTACTCTCAGGAAAAAGCATCACATGTTCAATATTTATTTTCCCCGCTGTTTAAGAACAAACTATTGCAATGTGACTTTTTTCTAATATTGCGCATCCCTACTCCAAACGAAACATCGGAGGGAAAGCTGAAGCTTAAATAGTTCTCAAAAGAGCAACTTCTGAACTGTAAAATCATCTTCTGGGACGCCACACAACCACATCACATTAATTCAGCCTCTTCCAGTTGGATTTCCTCAGCAGAACTACGTTTAAACTAGCAGATAGTGGGAAACTCTGCTGGATGTGTTTAAAAGGAAACGAAGGCTCCAGTCAGAGCAAACTGTGAAGGCCAGGCTGAAATCGAAGCCTGCTGTTTAAACACACACTAATCCTGCTGTTAGATTCATAGCATAGTGTGAAGGTTGACTGCAGCATGCTGACCTGCGTCCAGGAGAGAAAAACCAAGAGCACGGAAAACTGATCCCAGAACTCATTCACTCCCAATGTGCTGACACACAAATCCATTCAGTATGATTAAAAAAAAAAGAGCATCAATCCTGCCATTTGTGCTGTTTGAGAATAAACAAACTTTCAGAATTTGACAAATACAGTTGAAAGCAGAAGAATGTACATACAAGGCGCATAACCATTTTTAAAAAAAGGTCAGATGTTAATGAGAATAAACTTTTTCTCTTTTAGGTAAGCTAGAGTCATCACATGTGTTTCTGTTGTGCTTAATAGCAGAATAATGAGAGATCATCATTAATATTTTATAATTATTAGACATTCATTTTGGAATTATTGCACACAAATATTAATGTCATCTCAGCATTAGTTAGATAGTTGTTTCTGGTTTTTGTTAGTCCTAATTGTTGTTGTTTTAAAATACAATTTGCAGCGGTGCTCAATTATTTTTGGTGGATGCTCCTAATTTTTTTCTGGTGCTCCTAAATATTTGAAGTTGGGAGCACCGGTGCTACCAAGTAAAAAAGTTAATTTCGAGCCCTGTATATATATATATATATATATATATATATATATATATATATATATATATATATATATATATATATATATATATACAGTTGAAGTCAGAATTATTAGCCCCCCTGAATTATTAGACTGCTTGTTTATTTTTTCCCCAATTTCTATTTAATGGAGAGCAGATTTCTGCAACACATTTGTAAACATAATAGTTTTAATAACTTATTTCTAATAATGGATTTATTTTATCTTTGCCATGATGACAGTAAATAATATTTTACTAGATATTTTTCAAGACCCTTCTATACAGCTTAAAGTGACATTTAAAGGCTTAACTAGGTTAATTAGGGTAACTAGGCGAGTTAGGGTACTAAGACAAGTTATTGTATAATGATGGTTTGTTCTGTCGACTATCGAGAAAAAAAGTAGCTTAAAAGGGCTAATAATTTTGTCCCTAAAATGGTGTTTAAAAAATTCTAGTTGCTTTTATTCTAGCCAGAATAAAACAAATAAGACTTTCTCCAGAAAAAAAATATATTATCCGACATACTGTGAAAATTCCCTTGCTCTGTTAAACATCATTTGCAAAATATTTTGAAAAGAAGAAAAAAATTCGAAGGGGGCTAATAATTCTGACTTCAACTGTATATATATATATATATATATATATAAATATAAATATAAATATATATATATATATATATATATATATATAAATAATTTATGTGAACACAAACATTTTCTCAAATTTATGCATGCATGTGCGCATTTATATATACACATAATAAATATACACAACACACACACTTAAATTATGTCAAAACAAACTTTTACTTTAAATGTGATTAATTGCAATTAATATTACATTTAGATGCCCCATATTCTTCTATATAATAATAAAAATAAAATAAATAATAATAATAATAATAATGAAATTATAATTAAGTAAATTAATAAATAAATGAATGAATAAATAAATATTAGTATTTAAACTCAGGAGGCTCTGAGGTGCTACTGCACCATATGTCAGCGTGTTAACCGCTAGGCTATTGCGCCGATTATTTTCAAATGCATTATTTTGATCAGCCATTACAGATGATCTTTGAGGTCCTCACACTGTCACATCCTCCACGATGCCACAACATTGCACAGCTTTAAGAGGTGTTTTTTAAGCATTGAATATGTAATGCTGGTGACTTTTCCTACCTGCTACTGTGAGTCGTGCGGTGCGGCTGCTGATGGTGCCCAGATTGTCGATGGTGGCCACGCACTGGTACACCCCCTCATCAGGCTTATTGTGTTTGGAGTGGACCACCGTACTGATGAGCAGAGAGCCGTCTGCTAGCTGCCGTCTGCGGTCATCCGCCACCAGGTTCAGGAACGTCCCGTCTTTCTTCCACTCCACCCGTACTGGAGCGTCGCTGATGGCTGAGCAGTTCAACACAGCAGGAAGACCGCGGACCGCCAGAACATCCACAGGTTCAACAGAGAATCTGAACGGGGTGAAGCCACGGATGGCAGAGCCTGGGGAAAAAGAGAGATGAATGAGTTAGGGATGCGTTTACGCCTGTAGATCGACTGTTTTGCTCTGAAACAGGGATTCAGATTGTTGCAATGTTTATTTTTGTTCTTGATGCAGTTCACTTTCACATGGCAAAGTTTCTAAACAGATCAGTGGTATTTACCATCAATACCTCTGATATAGGCCGTTATATCTAAAGAGGAAACGATCACACTGCGATCGTTAGACTATTAGGGGCCCTATCATACACCCGGCGCAGTGTGGCGCAAGGCGTGGCGCAGTAGTCTTTTGGTAGTTTCAGCTTGGCGCAAGAGTGGTTTTGAGGCGTTGCGCTACGCTGTTTAAATAGCAAATGCATTAGCGCTCATATGTGCGCCCATAGGCGTTCTGCTCTAAAAAGGAAGGCGTTCTGAGGCGGACCGCTGGCGCGTTGCTATTTTGAGAAACTAAAATAGATTTTTCATTAGACCAAAACTAACCCGGTCTAAACTCCAGCGCAGAGTTGCGCCTCGCTTACACACTGCTTAATACACACAAGAGAGCAATAGGCAAATATCTTTACATATGAAAACATTTATATATATTATTTAAATTTATATATTATATATAGGATATAATAAGAATAGATATAGGATATAAATATAAAGGATTAAAATATTACAAAACATATTATTTTCTAGCCTACATAAATATGAAAAATCACTGCTTTTATGTCTTCTTCATCTCGGGAGGCTTTTTCACTTCATTCATAACAATTTGCTTTTGTATAATGTTATTATTATTAGCAGTATTATTTATTATATCCATATTTATATTTGTTTTATTAAAAACAAGCTTAGATTTGTGCACCTGTCAGGTTTTAGATCATATGGGGCACAGCATGTGTTTTAGGATATAACTCAGGTTTTTGAGCACATTTTGTTATTATTATTCATTTATTCATTTGCTGGAAATTAGAACTGAATTTAGAAATAGTTTTGAAACGAATATTTGCGCTTAACAAACAAAATTATTTATTTATAGACTAATTGATGTCTGTGCGTAAAGGTTTCCCTATCCAAGAGCGAAAGTGAAAGTAGATCTATTATCTCTCATTCTCACGCAGTAGATGCTCTGTTTAACTGTTTTCTGTTAAAAACTGTGAACTGTTTGCTTGTGAAATGCTAATTTTTTTCACTTAGACTTACTTTACGTCCTGTAAATAGCGAATGCGCTTATGGTGGGACGCAGCTGGCTCTTAAAGGGAATGGGAGATGAGACTCTGATTGGTTTATTCTCAAAACACACCTATAACTCATTAAGAAAATAAACTCAACCCTTTTAGACCATGCGCCACAGTGCAAAGTGGATTTTCCCGTCCTTAAATTAGCAAAAATGCGTTCTGACACGCCCTGAAAGCGTTTGCGCCTTGCAAATGGACTGTCAAAATAGAGCCCTAGACGTTCAATGTAAAAGATGGATTTTAAAGCATCACATTTGCACACAACAATAAACCAGCATCAAATCTGAACTCACCCTCTCAGAAATGCGAGATTACAGCTTTTTTTGCCATGTTCTTTTGTTGGCTAAGTGATTTTGATTCTGAACATTCATAGGTTGAGTCGCTCACCTTTCTGCCATGCAAAAAAATACAGCTGGGAAAAAAGTTCTAAACCAACATAATTGCTTAACGCTTACAGTGACGTATAATTAAAAAACAGAACCGCATTCAGCCACCAACCCGCATTGTTCAGACAGCACTAATGGCCAATTATCTGCACCAGTGGTGTTGTGCGAAAACAATTACGGCAAGACTTTGCGCAAGTGAGCTGCTTCGTACTTTAATTACGTAGGAAATGACAAGCTTCTTGTGTTCGACACAAGGCGCAGCATATATAACAATCTGAGACAGAAGCTAATGTGTTTGCTGCTTGCCTGTCATGCAAGCTAATTTGGTACCGAAAATATGCTTTCATAAGTAGGCTACCTGAGAAACAGATGCAAAAAAGACATTAATGCCATAAAACCACTCGCAGATTAGCTACTTTAATAGCTGCACATGATTCCTTTATTGGCTCAATTTCATTTTCAACTTTAAGAAAGACTAAAGATGGAAAACTAAAGGCATTCACTCTGCATTGTAAAAATAATATATACACTATAGTGACTTGCAGACTGCTAACTTACAGTTCTGAAACACATTACAGGAGTTTGACCCTTGCTCTGTCAACTTTTGAGGTAGAAAACTCAACTTAAAGCAACTTTTTACTATATTTTAGTAGTTGATATATTGTATTACAAATATACAGTTGGTCTAAATTATTAGCCCCCCTGAATTATTCGCCCCGTTTATTTTTTTAACTTAATTTCTGTTTAACGGTGAAAAGATTTCTTCAACACATTTCTAATCATAATAGGTTTAATAACTCATTTCTAATACCTGATGTATTTTATCTTTGCCATGATGACCGTAAATAATATTAGACTAGATATTCTTCAAGACACTTCTATACAGCTTAAAGTGACATTTAAAGGCTTAACTGGGTTAATTAGGGTAACTAGGCAGGTTAAGGTAATTAGGCAAGTTATTGTATAACGATGGTTTGTTCTGTAGACTATCAGGAAAATATATAGCTTAAAGGGGCTGATAATATTGACCTTAAAATGCTTTTTAAAAAAAATAAAAACTGATTTTATTCTAGCTAAATTAAACAAATAAGACTTTCTCCAGAAGAAAAAATATTATCAGACATACTGTGAACATTTCCTTGCTCTGTTAAACATCATTTGTTTTGTTTTGTTACGGCCATGTTTTCTTCATCCAAGTTAGGCTGCTTTGATACAATCTACATGGTAAAAGTGCGATAGACGTAACAAAATGAACCGAATTGAAATAAATGAAAAAATGCAACAAAACAAAAATCACAAAATACAAAAAAACTTTTAATTTACATATTTTTTTACAGAAAAGAAAGAAAGAGAAAGAGAAAGAAAATAAGAAAGAGAGAAAAAGAAAGAAAGAAAGACAGAGAGAAGCAAAGGAAAGAAAGAAAAAGATAAGAGAAGCAAAGAAAGAAAGAAAGAAAGAAAAAGATAATAGAAGCAAAGAAAGAAATAAAGAAAGAAAGAAAAAGATAATAGAAGCAAAGAAAGAAAGAAAGAAAGAAAGAAAGGAATAAAAGATGATAAGAGAAGCAAAGAAAAAAGACAGAAGAAAGAGAAGCAAAAGAAAGTAAGAAAAAAATAAAAGCAAAGAAAGAGAAAAGAAAAGAAAAGAAAAAGAAAAAAGAAACAAGAAAGAAAGAATAAAGAAAAGCAAAGGAATGAAAGATAAGACAAGCAAAGAAAAAAAAGAAAGAAAGAAAGAGAAGAGAAAAAAAGAATTAGAAAAATGAAAAAGAAAGAAAGGAAAGAAAGAAAAACAAGAAAAAATAAAAGCAATGGAATAAAAGATGATAAGAGAAGCAAAGAAAAAAGAAAGATGAAAGAGAAGCAAAGAAAAAAAGAACGAGAGAAAGCAAGACAGAAAGAAAGAAATCGGAAAAAAAACAGAATAAAAAGTAAAAAAGAAAAAAAGAGAAGAAAAATAAAGAAATGGAAAAGAAAAAGAGTGGGGGGAAAGAAAAAGAGTAAGAAAAGAAATAAAAAAGAAGAAAGAGCAAAGAAAAATTGAAAAAGAAAAAGGTATTAGATTAAAACGAACTTTACTAAAGAAACAACTCTTGCTTTATTGACCTTATGCTGCAATGTGGACGTGCGCTCGCTTTTATGATGATTGTTTTATTCTTCTGATTCAGTCGCTTGTGAGAAATGACTACAGGAATAATAAAAGCCAGAAAACGATCAAACAACTCGCTCAACTAACAAATGTCCATGACTGTACAGAAAAAGTAGAAGAATATAATCAGAAAACATCCATTTCCAACATCAAGCTGCAAAACAAGCCGATTTTAACATTTAAAAATGAATAGAAATAAGAAGAACTAAAAAGCGCTCAGATCTCCTGACATGCAAACTTGTGTACTTGTTTCCGCTACAAATCTAAAAAAAGGCCCCATGCAAATGCAGAGGAAACCCGCAGTCGCAAACTAATTGTAGAGCAGCCAGCTGGGAAACATTTGGAGTAACGTGGCCAAACGTGCCCCTGTTTGTGGCTTTGGATGTTTGTCACGGGCTGGATGCGAGTAATCGGATGGAGTCCAGAATTGCTGTTGGAGGGCAGCAGTGATGCATCCTTGACCCAGAAGCCCCGAGACAGCCAGAAAATGAGCCTGTTGGGTTGATAAGTATAAGCTGTTAGCCTTAGTCTGCGCACTTTGAGGAAAAACCCACTTCAAAAGCGCCTCAGTCAGCGAGACCTCTCAAAACAGGGGCAAGGGCTCTCCAGGGAAATAGCACAGTAGTGAATGAGAGGGGAAGAGAGATATACTGACACATACAAAGACTGAAAGAGGAGCAGAAGTGGCCTAGAAAGGCTGAGGAGGGGAAAGTGGCGGAGGCGCAATAACAAAATCAAGGGAAATCGGTTAAAGTGTCACATACGATTCTCTTTCTTCATCTAATGGAGCATGACAGGCCTCAGATTGAGAAACTTGCATTGTGGGAATGCACACGAGCGGCGCTTAACGGACCAACAGATGGTGGAGGAGCAGAGTTTAAGAAGATATTTGAACATCCGGTCTTTAAGGACAGTAGAAAAATCATATTTTAATAATTAGCAGTAAAGTCTGTGATAATGATAATAATTATTAATAATAAAGTCTGCGTGAACTGGACGTTGCAGATACTTTTATCTATATTATTAAGTATGTTGATGTACTTATGAACTGAATATTAAGTAGGGGCGGGGCTTTCTTTTTGTTCATTGTTCCCTCACAGCAAACTAATGTAAAAAGGGGCGTGGTTAAGCGGGGCCAGAGTGGGACTCCTTTTCAGCCCTGGAGTTTCAAGCCTAAAGCTGGAATTATACTGTACTTTCGCCTGGCGGCGCATTGCACACCTCCGCTAACTGCGCGCACCTCGC